TCGTAGTGTATATGAATTTTAGCTGCATATTCTGCTTTTACTCTTGAAAATTTTTGTGACTTGGCTAAAGTTTGTGTTAGTTAGACACTTGGAATTTTAACTTATGAGATGACTAATAAGCTTTTGGCAATGACATGACCCAGAGGCAATTTAGATTAGCTGCTGTTAGTTTTCTGGAAAGGTTGTTTATATCTGCTGAAAGTTGAAATGCTTGTGAGACAATGTGATCTCCTAACACTGGTAAAGCATCCATTTTAAGCATTGACATTATTTCGGTTGCTCTGTCTCTCTCATTTTTTCATCAAATTTCTAACAACCACGCTGTATTTTGTATTTTAGGGTACTCCTGGAGTAACTGGTTCTGTAATGTGGGATAGTGGAGTGGTCCTTGGGAAATTTTTGGAGCACGCTGTAGAAGCAGGAAGAATTCATCTTCAAGGCAAGAAGGTCGTTGAATTGGGCTCTGGCTGTGGATTAGTTGGGTAATGCTGTTATATTTTATGACATTGATATCTGATTTGTCAAAATGATTTTCTGGTCATTACTGGTTTAAGCTAGTGGACAGCAGTCAAGACTCAGGAGTTTGAAATGGTTGCACGTTCCAACAAAATAATGTTGGATTAGTTCCTATTGTAGTTTCTTGTCTCTGTAATGTGTATGAGAAACATGGCATGGCTTGTTGTTCATAAAAGTAAATTACTTGCTCATAAATTTATATTGGTAATGGTACCTTGTAATGGACTTTAAATGTTTGACTCACTCACTTTACATGGCATAAATTTACTGTTGATAAATGGTTCAATTCTCTTATTATGTTTCTCATACAATGTTTCCAGCTGCATTGCAGCTCTTTTGGGTGCTCAAGTTATTCTCACTGACCTCCCAGATAGACTGAGGCTACTAAAGAAAAATGTAGAGGCTAATCTGTATGGAGATGTAAGAGGTTCTGCAACAGTGACTGAGCTCACATGGGGAGATGAGTTAGATCATGGTATAAAGGATCCTTTGCCAGATTATGGTAACAATCTGAGATGGTCTCATTTCCTATAGCAGTTTCTTCACAATACATAATCAAATACCATATGCTTATATCTGAGGTTGTTTAGTTGCCCTTCACGATGATGTCGCATGTTGCTTTATATTGTTATTTTCTTTTCTTATCCTTATCTTTTCTTTGGGGAGGAGGTGAACTAGAATTAGTTATATACTATTTAACTGTCTAACCACAGAAGTATTATTTTTCCAAAATTCTTGTCAGTTATCCTTTTTTTCATTTATAGATTAGAAACCGCCTTATCGGTCTTTCGGAAACAGCCTCTCTACTCCCTCGGGGTAGGGGTAAGGTCTGTGTACTCACTACCCTCCCCAGACCTCATTTGTGGGATTACACTGGGTTGTTGTTGTAAACCGCCTTATCGAATGAAGGTTTTGTAGAACTTGAAATTGTTGCTGCGTGTAAGACTGGCTTCTATTAAGTTGNCCCCCACCCCCGAAATCGATGTGTCCGTTGACCGGAGGTGAATAGATCTATGTATGTAATCAATAGACTAAATATGGAGAAAATTACATCTTCAATATAGAGATATATGTCAATTGGCTACTTTTGTTTTATTTTTTCCTGTTTTTTTTTTAATCGATAAGGATGTCAAGTGGCTGCATAACAGCCACAAATGAATCAGTTTGTTTTGACCCTTACTCCTGCTCTTGAGAAGCTCTCTTACAAGGTCCAATCAGAATCAAAACCTAATTTCATTTCTCCCTCAGTTGAAAAGTTGCAGTGGGCGTATATGGGTTGTTATGCACTTTGCTATCAGCTTTAGAATTGTCGGAGTCAGCAAGTAGGTATATATAGGTTGTTCATGCTATCAGTTTTAGACCAGTCCAACATTGCCACTGAGCATATATGGGTTGTTGATGCTCTATGTTTTTTTTTTTTGAGAATTTGTTAGGTCTGATTAAATTTTGCCTATTTATGAAACAATGTTGCCACCTAATCTTGCAAAGGAAATGGATGTTTTTACCTAAACCAGTTTGCATCCTCTCACAGCTGCCTCTACCCATAGCAAAACGTGGGACGCACCTCAATGTTTTCTACATTGAGATGCCAAAAGATTTTTAGGGACCCTCAGGGCTTGGTTCAGAGGTAAGAGTGCAGCAAATGATGTGTGGGTTGAGCGGGTGAGTTTGAACCCTTTCATGGATAAAAGTCTGTATTTAAGTGGAGAAGGATAGAGAGGCAGATCCATTATCGACTTAGTTTCGAATTGTGCATCAGCTGGCCCTAGGGGATTTCTCTTTTATTTTAAAAAAATCAAATACTCAGCTTGACAGCTCACATTCCACCCTTTGCCCCTTCTTTCATGCTCCAAAGGCCCGGTAGATGGTCTCTGGTCAGTGGTCCAGTTAGCATATCCTTGATTTTAGTTTACTGTTTCATGTTCTGAATATATTCGTATTTCAGTACTTGGCTCAGACGTGATTTATAGTGAGGGAGCTGTCATGGATTTGTTAGCAACACTTCTCGACCTCTCCGGTACTCAGACAACAGTTATTTTAGCTGGAGAACTCCGGAACGGTATAGAGACTGGATATTTTACTAAATCTCAGATGGTGTGGAGATAGATATATATCATGTGATTTTCTTGTGGCAGATGCTATCCTTGAGTACTTCTTACAAGCTGCTGCCGAGGATTTCACTATTGGCCGTGTAGATCAAAGCCAGTGGCATCCAGATTGTTGCAGTCCTCGAGTGGTAATATATGTTTTGGTGAAGACGTAGAGAAAAGAAAAGTAAGAATCAAGGCTGACAAAGAAATGGCACGAGCCACTATAACATTGGAGACTCATTCACGAAATGGAACCAACAATATACCTGTGCTTCACGTATGATCTGCTAAAGTGTTCTACTGGCTTTCTTTCTATGTAATCCAGTTGTATCATTGAGTAGATAAACCAATGACCTAATTGCTTTTCCTCATTGACGATTTAGTGATTTTCAGTCATGTAAATGTGATTCCATCTGTTAGATAGTAGGGCTTGTTCTGCAAAGGTCTATGCATTTGACTTTGGTCCATTCTCTTGTTCATGGTTGAATCATGGCTTTGGTCCATTCTCTTGAAATTATTAGTATCTCTTATTTGGTATATTTGGCTAACTGATATGTAGCTAAGTAGAGGGGCATGCTAGCCAGCTGAGATTTCACTTTACCCTTATATTTTCTTTTTCTTAGTTCTGTTTTTGGTGGGCGTGGCCTCTATGGAGGACAAGATGCGGGAGGCTAGACTTAGATGGTTCGTACATGTGAGGAGGAGAGACGCAGATGCACCAGTGAGGAAGTGTGAGAGGTTGAGGTTGGACCTGGAGGGCCTAAGAAGAGATAGAGGTAGACCGAAGAAGTATTGGGGAGAGGTGATTAGGCAAGATATGGCGTTGCTCCAGCTCACTGAGGACATGACTAGGGATAGGAAGGTGTGGAGGTTGAGAATAAAGGTAAAGGGTTAGAATAGGTTGCCTGGCGTTGCCCTTGTCTGTAACAGTAGCTTTGATACATGTTAGCGTTAGTTATGTATTTTCATATTTCTTGATTTATGTGATTACTTGTCGTTGCTTTCGTTTCGGCCTTGTGATTACAATACTCAGTTTTAGTTTTGTATCTTTGTGNTTACGAGTTCCAAAGTTATGAGTTCGAAGGTTTATGTGTTTGGAAGTTTGCGGGTTTAGAAATTTTAGAATTTATGGGTTCGAAAGTTTAGCGGTTCGGAAGTTTATGGAATTTGTGGGTTCGGAAGGTAGGTGGTTTGAAAGTTTATGGCTTCATGTTTACTGTATCTAAATTATTGAGAAGTTATTTTTCTTAATTTGCGTACCGAACAACGGAAAATGAGCAAGATTATTACTTATTTTTCAAGAAAAATATTTTTCGTTATACCAAACACTACCCTTATCTTTAAAAATAAAGAATAAAAAATTATGATCGGGAGCACTTTTCCGTACAATAAGCATTATAGGAATCTAATTAGATCGGGGCCCAACGCAAATATATTTGGTATGTCGTACGCACTTTTAATTCTAGACACCGAGATTCTCGGTAAAAATAGCACTGGCTAGTCAGTTTTCGGACCGATAATTGAAAAATAGCCAGCTTTTGCAAAGTCATTGAAAAATAGCTATTATTTTGCTGCATCATGGACCAGTCCAGCATAATATACTGGAGATTGGTGCATCTGTGTATGAACTTCCAGCATATTATGCTGGAACTCCAACACACGGAAAGTTCCAGCATAATATATTGGAGATTGGAGCACCTGTGTATGAACTTCCAGCATATTATGATAGACCGGTATATTATACTGGAACTCCAGTATATTATGCTGAAAGTCAAGTATATTATACTGGAATTCCAGTATATTATGTTGGAATATTTTTCGGATTTTGAATGATATTTTCGTTCAGATTTATCTTTACATAAAAAGTGGCTAAAATTCGATTACTTTTGAAACTATGACTATTTTTCAATTACCACTTGTAAATCTGGATATTTTTGAATTTCTCCTAGATTCTCGAGAACTTTTTACATTCTTAAACTTTAACCAATCAAACTAATGAGTAGGGGTATTATCACTTTTAGCCCTTGTTAGAAATTATTTATATTTGGTAGTCGAAAAATGTATAAAATTTGTATAATTTTTATATATAACATACAAAATGTATATATATACAAAAAAATATATAAAAAATATATGGTGTCATTTTTTCTAATAAGTACTACCCGTTTGGATATAAAATTTGATGGAAGATTTTTCCAAAATAATTTTACTTTTTTCGAAATCAGGTTTGTTCATAAAATTTTTAATTTTTTCAAAAATTTAAAAAGCTACAAAAAGTTATTTTTCAAAATTTTAACTCAAATCACTTGCAAAACTTCAGGCTGCTGTGGATTCCGTTTGTTTATTTCCCTTTTCTGGAGATCTTATCTTAAAAGCTAAACCAGAAACCGTGTAAGAAAATTACCCTTTTCTTTATGCTGATTTTTATCCTTTTTTTATGGCTTTAAAACTGCTCATTTTCCCTTTCTGTTGTTCCTCCCTTTTTGGCGTGTGCAAAAATTCCTAAAAAACCCATTGAAAATATTGAATTCTAGGGCATGTTGTTACAAACAGTAACATTTATGCTTTCTAAAACTCCAATCTTTATTTCACAATTTTCCATTTTGCAGGGTGCATTTTACAGGAGAATGATTCTTGAAAAAATGGTGGATTACAGGGTTTTCTTCTAATTTTTAGTAACTTGTTAAAGCTTTGTTGGTAAATATTTGAATACCCATCTTTCATTTATGTTGAAAAATGCAAGCTTTGTCTTGTGAGTTGTAATTTTCAACTTGAGGGTTTCTTGCTATTTATATTCAAGATTGCATATTTGGAGCTATTATGTTTCAAGATCATTAAGTATGGATAAAGAGAAGTGTGTAGGGGGTTTAATGCCTCCATCAGGAAAATATTCACTCTTTTCGCCTTCCGGGAGTATTTTTAGTGTAAAGTCAGAGCCATCAGGATCATCAAATTTACCTCCTTTAGGGCCTGTACCTGCTTCAGAACTAAAAGCAAACCAATTTAGTCATGATATTAGTCGAATGCCAGATAACCCACCTAAGAATTTGGGTCATCGACGTGCCCATTCGGAGATTCTTACACTTCCTGATGATATAAGTTTCGATAGTGATCTTGGTGTTGTTGGTGGACTGGATGGACCGTCTTTGTCTGATGAGACTGAGGAGGATTTCCTCTCTATGTATCTTGATATGGATAAGTTTAACTCTTCATCTGCTACTTCTTCATTCCAAGTGGGTGAGTCATCTTTGGGCTCGTTGCAAGCTCCAGCGATGGGTTTTACAGCTTCGAGGATTGACAATGTTACTGACGCTGTTAGTGAGAAGCCAAGAGTCAGACATCAGCATAGTCAGTCCATGGATGGTTCAACTACAATCAAGCCGGAGAGGCTTATGTCGGGTGGAGAAGATCCATCTTCAGCTGAGACTAAGAAAGCCATGTCCGCAGCAAAGCTTGCTGAGCTCGCTCTTATTGATCCGAAACGTGCGAAGAGGTAACTCCATCTGTTGCTCCTTCGTTTTTTGCTGTCTCTTTGACATTATTCACAATTTAACCAGTATCATAGCTTGAGCAACCATTTGGATTTGCTTTTATAATACTTTGTCATGCACGATGAAATCCTTCGTTGGAGATTTGGGAACTGAAAATGGTGGAGGTGGGGGGGAGCTAAAGCTGTAAACATCCTGATATGATCTGGTTATTATGATGAAATGTAGTTTGTTAAATGAATACTTTCTGTATTTGTTGACTTTAATTAGTGTTTTATTGGTGGTGAGTTCATTTTAGTGATGTTTCCTTTTCAACTGGTTATTATCTCCAATCTCTTTGCTCCTCAAACTTTTATGATTTTAGCTCCCGTTTGGCCATAAATTTTGGCTTCATTTTTTCAAATTTTGTTTTTGAAAACAGTGTTTGTTTATGAAGTATGATCATGTTTTGGGAAAAAAAATCAAAAATATTTGAGTTCCCAATAACTGGTTTAGGGTAGTTTTTGGGTGAAAATTTTTCTTCCACTCACAAAAAAAACTTCAACTTTTCTTCAAATAAAATGCATGTCCAAACACAACTTCAACTTTCAAAAATTATTTTTCAACACAACTTCAAAAACTCCTTTTTCAAGTTTCAATCAAATCTATGTCAAAACACTAGCTTAGTATTTTGAAGCGTTTGCTCTTCACTCTAAAGTCTTCGCCCAGGGCCTCTTTTGTCAACTTTTCGCTTTAATGGCTGAAAGATTTAAAATAAAAATAAAAATCCTATTAGCAGTTATAATAGTGCCACCTCAAGCATCTCTTTCTACTTCTCCTTGAGCCTACCCAGCAGAAACAAGCTCCTAAGAAGTTGAAATTTTGCTTGCTGTTCACAAGATTTGCCTATAAGAGGTAAGAAGCCAAAAACAGCTGTTTGAAGCCCTTTATATAAGCTTATTTGGCCTTCATTGATGGGAAGGACGTGTAGCTACTATTGTCAGCCCCGTAACTCGTAAGGGTAATTTTGTATGAGATAGATGCTGGGGTGCAAATTAATTTATTTATGCTTCGTTATGTTATTCTCGTCACAACCCAATTCTATAGGACCGCGACATAGTACCTAGTGGGCTAATTGACCACACGAATGCTGTGTTTCATACTAGCTAACATTACAACCTTGAGTATAGCGAGCTCTTGTGAGTGATATAAAGTACTATGATGAAGTTAACATATGCAACTCCAGTCTTAAATCAAATTGAAATACACCCATTACCAAGCTCATGGAACATGACTGCAGATTTCAGACAACTGACAAAAAAGGAAAGTCTGGATAACCCATAAAGGCACACTGAATAAGAAGTGGTGATCACCATTCACCAACTTTAGAAGTATGAGCATCTACTGAAATCTTCAGAACTAACTCCGAATGTGTAAAACATAGGAGTAAGGAGTGAGTCTAAGGATCCAGTGAATAGATAATCTTCCTTAAGCTATCGGGACAAGAGTTAGATAGCCACGTGCAATGCCATACTGAAGCTGAAAACTAGTAAAAATATATTCTGAAAGTATGGCATTGGAAGTCCTTCCTTCAGAATATATTTACAGTTACTTGTTTTCAGCAGAGAGGACTTCCAATGCCAATACTATTAGAATTTTCTGAAGGGAGGACTTCCAATGCCATATTCTGAAAGTAGGGTATTGGAAGTCCTTCCTCCAGTGTTCCTTGCTCTTTAGGTCCTTGTGTTGATATATCTTGGTCTCATTACTTGTCTCTAATGAATCCTTCACGAAAATATCAAGAACAAATAAACCTGTGATTCATTGTTAGATTTGTCCTAATTTTCTGTCTCTCAAAGATGAGGAATTTCGAGTCAATGTTATCCAAGTGTAAATAGTATTATCTTAGAGTTATATTGCATGAACTAGGTAAGAATAAATACCGACTTATGAAATAGTAGGATTATTTATCAAAAAATGAAAATTGTGCTATTAGCTGTTTTAGTAGGATGAGATACATGGTTCGCCTGGTGGATCATCCCATTAGATGCATGTTGCTACCTTATATATTTGGGTTGTGACAAATATGGTATCGGAGCTTGTTTTGCAATAAGATAATGAGACAAAACCTCAGTGAGGACACTAAATCCCCAAGGAATATTTATATGACATCCATAATAGAGGGCGAATTGATGAGTGGGTCACGTAAAGGACTGCTAGTCTTACAGGTTGGGAAGCTTTCGAAGGAGAGGTGCATATGGCACCTTAGGTAAACTGCACTTTGAAAAGGGAAGTGATACGGTATGCCCACATTTAGGCTCGACTGTCCAAGGGACAAATTCGTGAATTCTATTGGACCAAAGCGGACAGTACTCGCCACGAGTTTAAGTTGTGACATTTTCTTAAGGGTTGGTTTAATGTTGGCTTCTTTGCCAAAAGAAATGTGCGGTTTTTTCATTCCTCATCTCCTGCTCTTCCTTTTTATGATGGTTGGCAGACAGGGCACTGGATTTGGGTGGGAAGGAGGCGGATAGGATACAAACTCAATCTGTTTCCTTTACCTGTATGTATTTACTTCAGATATTGCTGAGATTAATTGACTTCAAACTATTACTCTATGTATTCAACATTTGATTTCTTCAGTCTTGCTTTCTTTTGGATATCAATACTTGTTTATAGAGTAATAAAAGGAGGTCAAGAGAGGGGTAGGAGCTTCTCAGGCTTTTTTTTTCTTTCAAAATGTTATGCATGTGCTCTATATTTCGTAATATGGCATTGACTATTCGGAAGTTATGTTAGAAAACTGTAGCTATTTGGAAGTTAGTTCTATTGGGTTAGATGCATTCCTTTTCCGAATGACATTCTATTCTTTTTATATTAGTTCTATAGGAAGGGTGTGACTCTGGTGCTCCTTTTTAAGTTGCATTATTGGTTGTTCGTCTGAAAGCTGATTGTTCGGATGGCTTAGAATTCTGAAAAGTTTTTGTGTGGTAAGCAAAATATCTTGTATTATGAAATACTGCACCATTGCTATTTTTGATAGGCATTATACGATTGTTCTTCTCGGATCATTTATCTTTCAAAAGGTGTCCTCCCTTTCCAGGGTGATATCAGTTTTTTTCTTTCTACTGCGTGTAGTAAAAGTTATTAATTCTGGTTTTCTTAACTTCCTCCGCCATCTGATTTATGTCTTCTTCCTCCCAAGGTCTTTTATATCCAACAAGCTCTTCAAAGCGACTGAGGATTCTAAACATCTGCATTTGACGTCTTAATTCTCTTTAGTTTAAATTTTTGTTTGCTTGCTGAAGTATTTTTTTAATGCTTTAAGCTGTCCAATGCTTTGAAGTCTCTCTCTCTCTCTCTCTCTCTCTCACTCATTTTTTTAAAATTGTCTGGCATGGTTCAAAATTCAAGTGAACTTAATACTCAAACAAATGTCCTACTGCTGCTGCATTCTCACATTCTTGTCTTTGCTTCACTATGCNAAGTAAATTTAATACTCAAACAAATGTCCTACTACTGCTGCATTCTCACATTCTTGTCTGTGCTTCACTATACAGAATTTGGGCAAACAGGCAGTCAGCTGCCAGATCAAAGGAAAGGAAGATGAGATATATAGCAGAGCTCGAGAGGAGAGTGCAAGCTCTGCAAACAGAAGCGACTTCTTTGTCTGCTCAGTTGACCCTGTTGCAGGTATATATCAGAGCTTTCACTGCTATGCAGTTCCCTTTTCTCTTTTTACTTGTATTGCATTCTTTTCATGAACATGGTTGAAGAGATGGAATGAAGTAAATCCTTGTTAAGTTGGTTTCATGTTTGGTATTTTTCACTGAATTTATTTCTCTCTTAGGAAATGAGCCAACTTTCAAACAAAACTTTTCTGATTAGTTCTTGGTCCTTTTCCGGGGAGTTCCCATCCTCCATGATGGAGGGGAGGACCTTTTTTTCAGCAGGAGACAAGTCTTTCGAACTAATCGACATCAGTGAAGATCGGGTTAGATGGTTTTTACTCTATGAACGCAGCAGGAGGTTCATCGGCAAGATCAGAATCGATGAAAACAATATAAGATGGGTATGCGCTGCTTTGAAAGATGCTTCACGGGGAGAGGGGAACTTGTGTAGGAGATGGGGAAGGAAAATTGAGGCTTATATTTACAGAGTATATCGGAATTTCAACAGTTACGACAGATTTGTTCGTATTGAGGCATGGTTGGGTGACAGGAAATCATCGGTGATTATCCCAGAAATTATCGAAAACGGAGGTTGATGCGACATTGCAGACAAAATCTTGAGATTTCTTTGGAGGCCAGAAAGACCGGCGTCGAACTGGAATTATCAAAGTCAGTCAAGATCTTATTTTGAAGCTGCTAGTCCTGAGCTCTGGCCTTCAATAAAGACGAATGGTGCAGTAGCAGATCAGAACAAAATCAAAATTAGTGCAGAGGCTAAAGCAAATAGCTCTCATTTTCTTGCTAAATGTCTAGTTGGGAGATTTAATGACCCATTCAACATGTCTCCAAACTATGAAGTTGTTCAAAAATGGTTTACTAACACATGGAAAGTGACAGTAGGCTTGAAGGTTACGCCGATTGCACACAATCTCTTCCTCTTTGAGATGCCTTCTCGCCAAGAAGCAGTTAGAGTCAAGGCAGGTGATTTGTACTGGAATGGAAGAAGGTTGTCATTGGAGTGGTGGTCAGCGGTCACAGGATTGGCAATGGCGGAACCAAACTCCGAACGTAGATGGATAAAAGCTTTTGGAATTCCTCTCCATGCATGGTTGGAGAGCTCTTTCAGAGTTATTGGTGAATTGTGTGGCGGCTTCGTTGACACCGACGAAGACACCAAGAAAAGGACTCACCTGCACTAGGCTAGGATTTGTGTCAACAAATCAATTGAAGAAATTCCTAGTAAACTTGAATTGAAAGTGGGAGAACTAAGCTATGAAATTTCTATAATTTCAGATGCTTACACTAAATTATGGGTCGCCGGAGATGGGGTGAATTGCAGCAGCAAGGGTTTCATTGAAGAAGAAGGGGTTAGGGTTTCGAGGTCTGCAACTGTCAAATCAGTAGATAGGCCACAGGGACAGCACATGCCTTTAGCCTTTAATTCAAAATTGCCATATGCCAATGAGGTGGGGCCCTATAGTAGGTTTAATAATCCAGCCAAAGGGGCCAGTATTATTAAGGATGTTGGGCCTAAAAAAATTATTATTAAGAAACCAGACAAAGGGGCATGCATTATTAATTAAGTTGGGCCTTCAAACACAAAGAAAACAGATCAGGCTTATTACAACAAAGGCCCAAAAAGAAGAAATAAGATATTACAGATCTGGAAGGCCAGAACCCAAGACCCATGCCTTCTTAAAACACGCTCTTCACCTCCACCACATAATCTTGATCCCCTTTTCATAGAACTCCATGCTCTGGAAATTAAGCGTATGATGTCTGATTCAGAAGGGAGTGTTTGCCCGAGCCTCTGCGATGCTGATGATGAAGGAAAATTGCCCCATGATATAGAACTTCTTTCTATTCCTCCACAAATCAGGGAATTAGCACCAGTGTTTGGCTCAGAATCTGATTACGCTTCTCAATCTCACAGTGATACTCTATCCCTTCCTTGGTACATTGATAACTCTTTTAATCAACAAATTGTTCATACTCCTTCTGTTATATCCACTTCGAAATGGACAAAGTTGGTTATGGTGAAGGCATGCAAAGCTGGGGTTAATGCAACTGGTTTTGAGCACGAATTATTGAATACGATTCTAAGAATGGACCAGAGAAGACAATCTCAATTGCAGCAAAGGGAGTCAGAAGGGGGTTGTTCAAAGACAAAAAAGAAGCAAGGGGTGACAAAATTGAAAAAATTAGTTTCGAATTTAAGCCAGGGTAAAGGGGAAGGTAGGGTAAGGGGCAGGATTCACAACGCTCATTTGGGATGAAAGTAAAAATCCTTAGTTGGAACGTTAGGGGGTTGAATGAGAGTAAGAAGAGGGGGATCATCAAATCTTTGTTGATGAAGTGGAAGGCAGATATAGTATGTTTGCAGGAGACAAAAATTGAAGAGTGGTCACAACAATTAGTAGGTTCTTTATGGGGAAATAGATGGGCTAGCTGAGCAGATTTGCAAGCAAATTGCACAAGAGGTAGGGTTATCATTTTGTGGGACAGGAGGTTGTGGAAAAGCATTAACATTCAGCAAGGTATATACTCGGTTTCTGTCATTCTAGAAAGTCTCCAAGAACAATTCAGGTGGTGTTACACTGGGGTATATGGGCGACATTCAAATGCAGCAGGAAAGGATCTTTGGCATGAATTGGCAGCAATAAGGGGTATTTGGGATGGGCATTGGGTGATAGGGGGAGATTTTAATGTATGCAAATATGAGCATGAAAAATTCAACTGTCTTAGAAGGTCCAGAGCAATGAAATCTTTCTCTGATATTATATTGGAATTGGAACTGTTGGACTTACCCCTACATGGAGCTCAATATACATGGTCTAGAGGTGAAGAACAATTTCAGGCTTCTAGAATTGATAGGTTCTTAATCTCATCTGAGTGGAATGACAACTTCAAGGCAATAAAGCAGGTGACTTTACCCAGAGTAGAGTTTGATCATAAGCCATTAATGCTTGAATGTGGGGATTGGGACTCCAATTCATCTTATTTTAAATTTGAGAATATGTGGTTGCTAGCAGAGGGATTCATGGACTCAGTTAAAGAATGGTGGTCCAGTTATCAGGTAGTGGGCAGTCCAGACTTCATCTTGACTCAAAAACTGAGGAACCTGAAGAAAGACATCTCATGCTGGAACAATGAGGTATTTGGAAAACTAGAAACTCAAAAAAGTAAGGTACTTAATGAACTAACTATACTGGAACAATCATATGAAGGCAGAGTTCAAACACAAGTTGAGAAGGCTCAAATGATCAACCTGCAATCACAAATTCAGCAGTTAGCAAAGATTGAGAAGGTTTCATGGAGACAAAAATCAAGATGCTTATGGCTTAAGGATGGAGATAAAAATACAAAGTACTTCCAAAAGATGGCTAATGCTCATAGAAAAAACAACTGCATTGATAGGCTACAGATGGGGGAAGTCATCATTGAAGATAAGGAGGAAATAAAAAGTGAAATCCTGAACTTCTACCAGCAGTTGTACACAGAGAATGAACCTTGGAGGCCGTCAGCTAGATATGACAATCTAGCTAGGATTTCAGAAGCTGAGAGAAACTGATTGGAAAGGGAGTTTGAGGAACAGGAGATTCTTTCAACTATTAGAAAATGTGCTCCAGATAAGGTTTCAGGACCTGATGGTTTTACTATGGCATTCTTTCAACATGCTTGGGGGATTATCAAAAAGGAGGTTATTGATGCAATGAATCATTTTCACCACAATTGCCACATGGTTAAATCTATTAATGCCTCTTTTATTGCTCTGATTCCTAAAAAGAAAGGCGCAACCGAGCTCAAGGATTATAGACCAATCAGTCTTATAAGCAGTGTTTATAAGATTGCTTCTAAACTTTTGGCTGAAAGGCTTAAAACAGTCATTGGGAAGTTGGTATCGGGGAGTCAGAATGCTTTTGTAAAAGGGAGACAAATCACAGATGCTGCTCTCATTGCAAATGAGGCACTAGATTGGAGACTTAAGAGTGGAGAGCCAGGGTTGTTATTTAAACTGGACATTGAGAAAGCTTTTGACAAAGTGAGCTGGTCATACTTGCTCACAATTCTGAGGCACATGGGCTTTGGGGAAAGATGGATAAGATGGATCAAGTTCAGCATCACTACTGCTAAGTATTCGATCTTAGTGAACAGGGGTCCAATGGGTTTCTTTTCTCCACAAAGAGGTATCCGACAGGGTGATCCTATCTCACAGTTCCTCTTTATCTTGGCCATGGAAGGGCTTAGTAAAATGCTGCAGAAAGCCAGTCAGTTACAGTGGATTTAAGCTTTTAAAATTGGGAGGAATGTTGGGACTCAAACTGCTGTATCTCATCTACTTTATGCAGATGATACACTGAATTTTTGTGGAGCTGAGAGGTCTCAAGGATCCAACTAAACCTAACTTTGTTCATTTTTGAAGCTATTTCAGGTTTGCACATGAACATGTCGAAGAGTACCATTTATCCTGTTAATGAAGTCCCAAATCTGGCTGAGTTGGCTGGTATTATGGGATGTAAAATTGATTCATTTCCATCTACTTATCTTGGTTTACCTTTGGGAGTAAAATTTAGATCCACTGAAATTTGAAACGGGATCATAGAAAAGTTTGAGAAGAAACTTGCATCATGGTAAATGCAATATCTTTCATTTGGGGGTAGATTAACACTTATCAACAGTGTATTGGACAGCATACCAACTTACTACATGTCTCTATTTCCCATCCCAGCAAAGGTTTTGAAGCAACTTGATAAGCTAAGAAGAAACTTTCTCTGGGAGGGCAATAATGAACGACATAAATTTCACTTGATCAAGTGGAGAAAGGTTACACAACCAAAAACTCAAGGGGGGTTGGGAATCAAAGATCTAGCAGCACACAATAAAAGCATGATGATGAAGTGGCTGTGGAGATACAATACGGAGGATTCTGGGTTCTGGAAAGTTGTCATCAAAGCCAAGCATGGAGAGCTGAATCACTAGTGTTCAAAAGTCTCAAGTGCTCCATACGGTGTGGGATTATGGAAAGGCATCAGCAAATTATGGAGTACTTTTGCTCAGAACATCCACTTTGAAGTTGGGAATGGTACATACATCAGATTCTGGAAGGATAAATAGCTTGGAAACTCTACCCTCCAAGTTGCATTCCCTAACTTGTTCACCATAGCCCAAGATCCTAATGCGGTTATTGCTGCATATAGGGAAGGGTTCAATTGGGACTTGAAGTTCAGAAGGGACATGCATGGTTGGGAAATAAATGAGCTGCTAGACTTTTATGCAAGACTACAACAAAGCAATGCTAACTCCCAAGTTGTGGATAGACTTAAATGGGGGAATCATGGTGGAGGCATCTACACATTCAAGGTGGGATATCAACAGATGTGTTCTAGTAATCCCATGATAGATAACTGGCCCTGGAAACTTATTTGGAGAACCAAGCTGCCACCAAAGATTATCTGTTACACCTGGACAGCATTATATGAGGCATGCCTCATACAAGATAACCTGATGAAAAGGAACTTCCAGTTACCTAACAGATGCTACATGTGTCAAAAGAAAGCTGAAAGTACCTGCCACTTGCTCCTACACTGTGAGGTGGCTTCAGACATATGGTACATGTTTTTTTTGCCTTTTTGGTCTCAAATGGGTCATCCCTTACACAGTCAAGGACGCTTATAAGAGCTGGAGTTTATGGAGAGTTGATGAAGCCATCAGAAAAATCTGGTCAATGGTCCCTGCTTGTATTTTCTGGTGCATTTGGACAGAGAGAAACAAGAGATGTTTTGATGGAAACTCAACTTCTATAGGTTCTTTAAAGGCTATGTGTATTGCCAATTTGTTCTGTTGGTCTAGACTGTACCCTATCAACAATATTGATCATCATTTGGATTTCATTAGTTCCTTAGCTCTGGCTTAGCCAATTAAGTATATGAGCCGGAATATTTTTTGTAAGCTCAAATGCCAAATCATGTACTTCTTGCATCTTCTTGATGCCCATCTATTGAAATCACTTAGTTTATCAAAAAAAAAGTAAATCCTTGTTTGCTTGGTCTTGTATATGCATAGCATATGAATGTACATACATAAATACATATTCAACTTATTCTATCTCTCTTATGTGCAATATGCCCATATAAAAAGCTAGGTTTTGATATATCTGCATTTGTTTTCCATATGGTACAGAGAGATACAAATGGACTGAGTGCTGAAAACAATGAACTTAAATTGCGCTTGCAGACAATGGAACAACAGGTGCACTTGCAAGATGGTAAGAAACTAAACATGGCCTCGTCTTCTCTCTCAGAAGCCGACTAGTTTCTTCATTTCTTACTCCGGATGTCAGATAATTCTCCCCTTTCTTCCCGCCTCCTGATTTTGCTGGAAAATGTGCCGTTTCATCAACATCCCCTTTGAATCTATATAGTTCAGATAATTCATGCTGATTCAAATAGGATTACTATTTAGATTTGATAAGTATTCTGGCGTGCTTTGTTTTCAAGTATACTTTAATTTTAGGAAAAATTTAAGTGAAATCAAAGTTGAAATACTTCTTCAGCTTCACATTGCATATTTGTTTGACTTTTCTGGTTAAACTAATGCAGTAGTTCCTTAAGTGCTCTTCATCTTTGTTGCGCATAAGTGCAGGATCCAAAACTGGTTGACCCAAATATTAAACAATTCTTGCAATTAAAATATTGATAATAATTTGAAGTGAAGTCTGTGAATTCTAATAGTAATTAGGTTGTGGAGGTTCGGATGCATGCGGATAATTTAAAGTGGATTCTTTTAGATATAATGTTTTGGTTCTGGAGGTTTGGTTATTTCAGATATTTGAACTTTCAAAACTTTTGTTTGTATAGCCAAGCACTGTCATTACTCATTATAGTATTGATTATTCAGAAAATTCATATTTTTTTCTCCTTTATAATTTTTTTTTTCATATTTTATTCTCTTGATAGGCACCAATATATTAGGTTCTATTCTGTTAATTGGTATTAGTTACTTTAAAAATTTGAATAGGCATACATTTCTAAGTAAGATAATATCCTAAACAAGTAATTCTAAGGCGGTGCAGCACTTTCCTATTCTAGTATGCCAGTCCCAAATTAAAATCACCTTGGAAAGGAGAGTGCATCACATAAGAAAAGAAGGCTAACTTTGGTAAATAATTGTTTTCAGGTTGTGGGATGCAACCTTAGAACTCGAGAGAAATTTTTCTTGACCTAGAAGATTCAAAGAAATAAACCAAGTTAGAAAGATAGCACAATATGCCCACTATCTTTAGCCCGTTAATGGGCCTTTACATATAAGAAAAGGGCACCGATATGTGCCGCATCTCACAGTTGTAAGGCCATCATATCATTCCATCAAGTTGGTTGTCTACATTGAAGATATAGACAATGCCATTCAGAAACATGTGCGGAATCCTGAGTCAACCAGGACCTTAGTGTTGTTGCTACCAATTAAAGGAAAATGGGTAATGACAACCCCGGTCAAACCTCTCAACCTTCACACCTGTGGAAACCCAGGCATAGAGGTGGATGTGTTACATACCTCGTTGTTACAAATGATTAGGAGGTTCCACCTGACTGACTTAGTGGTAAAGTGCTTCTGCGCAGCTTTTCTATGTGAAATTGTGTCCCGTGGTCTATGATTTTCCGTAGTGCTTATTGGGTTCTTAATGCATGACTTAAAATATTTAAGCCAATTTTTTTTTTAACATTGTTCTTAAGTTCTCTTTGTTTTTTCTGCTTTTATGTAGCATTAAATGATGCACTTAAAGAGGAAATACAACATCTCAAAGTGCTAACTAACCAAGGCATAGCAAATGCTGGACCTATGATGAACTTTCCAGCATCCAACAACGGAGGCAATCAGCAATTTTACTCTAACAACCATGCAATACATGCGTTATTGACGGCACAACAGCTTCAACAGCTCCAGGTACATTCTCACAAGCAGCAACATCAGTTTCAGCACCATCAGCTCCACCAGCTTCAGCAGCAGCAACAGCAGGAACAACAGTTGCAGCAAGCCGGAGATATGAAATTGAGAAGTTCAAGTTCATCTGCTCAAAATGACCATGCTTCTGATAACGGAATGGATTAAAAAGTGCAGAGAGCCATTGCCGGACCAGGCAATGAAGAGTTAGTGCATGTTCGAGCTTTCATGATGTCATATAGCTCAGCTTTCTTTAGATTAGCTTTCATTAGCTACTCTCCTACATTCTAGTGCTCCCCAGGGTCTTGGTGAAATTGTAGTTGAAATTATGAAGCTACATTCATTTTGCATGTCGTATTTGACATGGACTTGTTCATATAACCTGTATCTTTAGGCTTAGTCCATTTGTACTTAAAACAGTAAGCACCTACTGTGCTTTCAGTGTAACATCTGTTCAGCAATGGAGTCAATGTGTTTGGGTGGTACCTCTGATAGTAAGTGCCAACGAGATTTTCCTTTCGTCAAGCGCCGGCATGGGCACCGCACTAAACTTGGCTACTGAGAATGCTGGTCAGGTCCTCAAATGAGCAGGGATAACGAGTTTGATGCAAGTACCTTTTCCGTAGCTTTTTGCCTTGTTTTCCATTTGAAGTATTGATGCCATTGACATGACGAACGTGGAAAGATATAATTAGCATTCAGAAAACTACACAACCTTTCAAGTCTTATCTTGATCTTCAACTTGAAGAAGAGCAGTATTGAGTTTCTTTCCACCAAAATAAGAAAAAAATAATAATAGGAAAAAAAGAAAGAAACAGAACAGTATTGGTTTATTGTTTTTCTTTGGGAAAATGACACTGTTGATGTTCTGATTCTGCTACGTGGCGCAGAAGATTTATGAGAGTATTTCTCGAGAGATGATTGTGCATGAGGGATGTGTCAGTCGTTTGAGTGGTCGACTTGAGTTCGGATATGGAGATTCTTGGGATTTGGAGACTTGGGAGTTCTCAGAGGCGAACTATTCCTTGGTTGTGGACTATGAAGATATGGCCAAAGTTAGACAGTTGATGATATGTGTTGTGATTTGGTTATTGTGGACTTTTGAAAGGTTATTTGCACATTTTTTTGGATGATCAGAATTGATTTGGGGGCCCATTGTTATGTCTAATGAGGATATTCTGCATCGGATTGGATTGTTTACTCAACACATCTATTGTTGAGGGGTGTGTCATCGACTAAAGTTGATCTTATTCATGTTCTTATATGCTCCATGTGCTTCTCTTCTATGCTATGACGGGTTGCGAGACCGTGGCTATTCATGCGTACAATGTGGTTCTGTTCAGGCCCGGTTGCGAGATTCGAGCGAGATGGCTCCAAGTGTGTCGAATTATTTATTGCGCTGTGGTTGTGGTTGTCCCGTCTGTAGTATTTTGTACTATCTATCTATGGTTATGGTCATACATTTTGCGCGTTTGCTGGTGATATACATGAGGTTGTTTATTGTGAGCATTATCGATCAATGGATATGCCATGTGAATCGGTGTATTTGGACTGTGCTACGTGCCGTAGTTAGGTTATGTTAGGATGAGATTCTTTGTGGTTATTTCGTATGTTTTGCTTCTCCCATATAGGGTGGATTCAAAGTATGGTGACGTTGGGGTTGTACCTGTTGGACTTGTCAGATGGATCTCTCATTTGGTTCTCTTTCCATCTTTTGTTATATTCGAGTTATTGCTTGTTGTGCACGAATTGACTCGTATATGACTAGGTGGTATTTGGTGTGGCTTGTCGGTCGAATAGCTTGTACTGGATGAGATGTGATCATTGGAACTGAAATTAGTGCAATCGGACTTGGATAAGTTATGTTTGGATAAGAATGTCATTTATCAACTTAGAGTTTGACAATGGTTCTTATCGAGCGAGAGAACTCCAGGACTTAGGTAAGTGGTTATGAGTTTCCACATATTTCTTACATCATTAGACGTGTTTTGAAGGTTTGGAACATACTGGGTTTAGTAATGAGCAACTATTGTGATCGAAAGATATTACTATGAGTACATGAGTTATATGGTATATCGTGTGATTATATCTTGGGATATGGTTACGGCTTGATGCATCTTGGTTAGACTTATACAGTGAATAGATGCGAGAATCGGGTCTTATAAAGGATTCTGGATATTGGAAATTGGGTTCTAAGGTTTATGGACCAAGGTTGAAGAAAGAATCTGGAGTTTGGTTGTGTTGACGAGCTTATATGTATTGAGGTGACGTGAGATCATCTATGGGTATGTGTACGGTAAGTTTATACAGTGATTTGATGGTTTTGGAACAATTCTTGGCACGTTCGATGACGAACATATATTTAAGTGGGGGAAAATGTAACGACCCGACCAGTCATTTTGAGCGTTAGCATTCCGTTTAGTGGTTTGAGGTCTCGAGTAACTTCATATGATGTATTACAACTTGTGTGCATGGTTAGTTTTGATTTTCGGGAAGTTCGGGATTGATTCAGAAGAGTAATTCTCAATTTAGAAGCTTTAAATTGGAAGAGTTGACCAATATTTGACTTGTAAGTAAACGACTTCGGATTCGTATTTTGATGGTTCCAATAGGTTCGTATGGTGATTTTAGACTTAGGCATTTGTCTGGCTTGGTATTTGGAGGTTTCTAGGATGATTTGGCTCTTTTGTCGAAAGTTGGCAATTTGAAGGTTTAGAAATTTCATAAGTTTGACCATGAGTTGACTTTGTGGATATCGTGTTCGGATTGTTATTCTGGGACTTGAAATAAGTCTGTTTTATCATTTGAAACTTGTGTGCAAAGTTTGATTTTATTCTGAGTTGATTTGGTATGAATCAGACACTTGGTTGTGAATATTTAAAATTCTTGCGTTTGAAGGTTTCATGATGAGTTTTGGTGTTTAATTTTCGGTTTGCAATTATTTGTAGCGTTTCGAGCCTTTGGATAAGTTTGGATTAGGTATATGGACTTCTTCGTATGATTGGACAGGGTCCGGAGAGGCTCAGGGGAGTTTTTGGGTGGTTTTGGATCATTTTTAATCCCTTTTCAACAGTTGATTTTTGGCTATAGGGGTGTATATCGTGATCATGGAGCTCTGGACTGCGATTGTGAAGGGTAAAATGCAATATTAAACTTGTGAATCGCGCTCGCAGAGGGAAGGTTCCTGTTCGCGAAGAGGAAATTTCTGTTGTCACATGACTGATTTTGAGAGCTTATAATTTATAATTTATAATGAATTTGGAGGTGATTCAAAAATAAAAGTTGTAGGCCTTGATTTCTAATATTTCTGAAAGCAAATTGTTTGTCATTTGGATCTTTGTATGGAAAGTTATGGCTGTTGCATTAGAGGTTGTCTGGAAAGAGTTTTTTTTCTTTTTCCAAATATACCACTCGGCCGCACTTGTCTAGTGGCTAATATATAAATAAAATCACAAAATGGGTCCAAAGCTTAAAGATGTCCAAACCAAAATAGAAGTGCATGAAACTACTAGCTATTAAAAGATTAGAAAAAAAAAAATCTAATGAACTAGCTATTACAACATGATAAGTTGAATGCTTCCTTCTCCTATTAGTGTATGTAAATCCAATTGTCATTGTCTGGTAAGAGTTGAGAGAGTATTTCACAGGATTATTTATCGCAATCGCAGAGCTTCTTGGCCACGATCGTGAAGGGAAAAATTGTGCTGGATATTTTTGGAATCGCGATCACGAGGTTGGTGACCGCAATCGCGAAGAAGGATGACTGGCAGGACTTTAAAATATTCAATTTCGGGTTTCTTCACTTTTTGAGTTCATGGAACATAAGTAAGGCAATTTTGGAGGAGATAAACACCCAAATCACAAGGGTAAATAATTTTATTTTTGTTTTGATTATATATATTTTTTTTCATTGATTATCACACCTAAATCAAGAATTTGAAGATAAGAAATTGGATTTCTTTTTAATTTAAACTTAAGAGAATAATTTTTGGGATTTTGAACATGAAATTGAGGTTGGATTTGGAAACCAATTATATATTTGGACTCGTACTCGAATGGGTTGCCATAATTTGTAAGTTTTGTCAGGTTCCGAGGTACGGGGCCTGGGATTGACTTTGAGTATTTGAGTAAAGACTTGACATTTATCATTTGGGTTTGATTTCTATGATATTATTTGATGTTATTGAGTTATTTTTGGCTAGATTCGAGCCATTTGGAGGTCGATTCGCGCGGAAAAGTATTTTTAGAGTATGGATTTGGATTATTTGAGGTAAGTAACATATTTAAACTTGGTTTGAGGGTTATTATCTCTGTGAACTATGATACTTGAGATGTGTTGGGGGGTGACACACATGTTAGGTTACAGGCGAGTGTGCGTACACCGGGGCACTCAGGATTCATGTAGAATTTAGGCTACTATGAGACTTATTTTCTATCATGCCTCGTTGTTTTTATATTTTATTTCTCTACTTGTATGACTACTTGAGCTGTTAATCGTGCTAGAGATCATGTCTAGGCTATGTGCTTACCTGTTGAGACATGTTAGGGCCATTGTTGCTATTTTGAGTTGTTTACCTTGATTGTAGTCATATTCTCAGTCATAGTTTTTCATCCGCATGTTATATCTCGGTCTCTATACATTATTTGTATGCCATTTCACATGTTGTTGATGCCTTCTATATGTAATACTGTTTGGACTGAGTTCTATGACGTGAGCCATTGAGACTTAAGTTGTTGATGAATGATGTAGGCCATAGAGTCGTGTTGTGATTTATATTTGGATTGGGTTGCATGCTGCAACAGATTAACATTTGGATCGGGTTTCACGCTGCAACGAATTGATATTTGGATTGGGTTGCACGCCACAATAGTTATATTAATTGTTGGTTTATTTTCGATCAGTGCTATGGTAAGGATCCGCCCCTCCGGAGTCTGGTATTCACACTGAGCGCAGGCACAAGATCATATATGTGCTTTAGTGAGGGGCATATGTCCAAGCACCCGTATAGTACTGAGTGTGATTATGTGTGTGATGGTAAGGGGCACTTGTTCCAGACACCATGAGTTTGCTGAGTGTGAGTATACCAGATGGCTTCACTATGATGTTATTGACTTGACATGTATATTTGACATGTAGGCATAAAGATATATTTTTCTCATGCTAGATGGTAAATGAAATATCTTGCCTGTTGTTGAAAGTTTGAAAATCACAATTTCCTTAATAAACTCATGTTTTAGTGACTTCAGTGGTAAGATTGGAGTTTGACCGTTATACTTACAAAGCATGTCTAATTTTTTGTATTTGTGAACGAGTTGATCATGATATCTCTTTAGTTGCTTACTTTTACTGTCATCATTATATCATGTGTTATTGATTATTGGTGTCAGACACTGACCTTCTTCCGAGCTCGTCACTGCTTTTAGTCTGAGGTTAGGTTTGTTACTTATTGGATACATAGGCTCAGTTGTACTCATACTATACTTCTTCACCT